AAAATATCTTATATATACAGCAAAGTTTACTAATTTTAATAAAAATGAAAATAATTCCAAATTCAAATGAGACTAAAACTAAAAACATATGAAATTTTGTCGCAACTGACTTAGATTTTTCTTTCCTATTTGGTGATATTTGTTAAAAAGGCAGCAAAAGTAAGTTCGTACCTGCCAATGTGCCAAGACCAACGACATTCTAACTAAAGTTTTCGAAAAATTAAATGAAAAATATTATGGATAATAAACAGCGAAAAAGAGCTCGGTTTTACCCTTGCGGTCTCGGTAATTGATGAGATTCAAGACAGATATTTATTTCAGTGATGAAAATGTCTAAAATAATTGTCAATTCCTATGGGATCATATCCCTAATGGTTTAAAATTGAACACAGATTTTCTTGTCAACCTTAATTTTGGATTTGAAGATAAACGAAGCCAATTACTTTAGGCGCTTTTGGTTACCTGGTTTTAATTGCTCTTAGAGAGTTGGTTTCTTCATTTTAATTTTTAGGATAAAATATGATGTGATATAATTAAATTTTTCATGAATACAAAAGTTATTTTCCTTTTCCGATAAAGGCAATAACGATAATTAAAGTTGTTCTCATACAATGTAAATTTATTTCAAAGAAAACTCCTATTTAATAATATTTAGGTAGAGTCTCTGTCATTGGAGAAAAGTGTATCCATAACATAAATGTGGCATATCAAAATTTCTTATTATTTGTAGATTAGGGAGAGCATTCAAGTATTACGTAAACAAACTGATTCGTATCTTATTTATAATATCCCACCACTTCTTCTGTTAGAAAAAATAAAAAACTTAAGCCCCCGCCTCCTAAATATGCTTAAGTAATACTTGAATGCCCCCCTAACAAAAAGCTCGTTTGTAAAATTCTTTCTTTATATTTTATTAACATTTAGTTTAGTTTAACTTTGTCTTTTAGTCCTTCCAAATATATTAATGGAGTATAAAAATATACATACAGGTAGTAACAGGATTAGACGTTTTTCAAAAAGTATCTAAGCTTGAAATCTTAAACTACTTCTACGGGGGTTTCCCAAGATGTCTTATTTAATGAAGAGATTAATTTTAAATTAGTAGATACTTGTCTTATCAAGTTTATTATCAATCATACAATACCGCCCATGTTAAACGTTTTGAATAATCCTCTATGAATTGGTTTTAATAAACTTCCAAAACCAATTAAAAATTAAAATTTTTCACGTTTAAACATCATCAATACTTTTTAAATTTATTAAAATGTTCCCAAAATGGAATTTTTGTATTACAATGTACCAATTTTTTTATTTATATCAATTTAATACCTAAATATAAACATGGAAATCAGTTTTGGTGAGAATAAGAGCCATTTTATAAAAATAACGTGATTTAAATGATATAAAAACATTTTCATCCAGTGAATCTTCAAATCGATGGCTTAAATGCAAAATGTCGTATCCGATTATTGAGTTTCTACTGCGGACACCACCGTTCATTCTTCAAAAATTTTGTAAATAATCCTATCTGTCTTGGTTATATATCTATGACTATACCATAGTGATGTCACAATAGTCGTATTATTACACCGGTAATCAGTTATATGGGACAGTGAAGATAAATAGTGAACATTCGAAATATATATAAATTAGAATAGTAGTGTTATAAAATAAATAAGTGTTTAAATAAATTATTAATAAATAAACTGTTGTTTAAAATAAACAAATATCACATTAAAATTATCACAAGATGCGGTAACGGTAATAATTAACTTATTGGTGAATAGTTCCTACTAGTATTGGTTTTTAATTTAATAAATAAAAAATAAATATTGTGTGTTCGCGACTTGCTACTGGCACCATTTACGAATTAACAGGAATAATTTATTTTTGACAGATTACGGTGTTAATTTGCATAACGCAGATGTTTTGCGTTTTATTAATTATTAGAGTCAAATAAAATGTATTAAAAAATCTATTTGTATTTTTTCCCTTAGCTGTGATTTGAAATTTGATTTAAAATATATCATGAAACACCCTGGCAACTCTGTAGTTTATTTATTAAAAATATTATAAAATAGATGTCTAACAAAGTGCCTCAAAATTGACTGGCACCTAGGGCCTCATATTAGGTAAAACCGGCCCTGGGAAGAAGGACTTCACGAATAATTCAGTCCGTGTTATCACTCAGTGGTTATATTATTATTCTCTTTTAAAAATTACAGATTTCTCATTATTAATTTATACGATAAAAGGAGGTTGCATAACAGGCTCACCCCCTGTATCTAATATGACAATTGCGATAGAAATAAATAATTTTAAGTACTTACCAAAACATTGCAGTTAACTTTTACAATTTAATAATAATAATTTATTTTAACAATTTACAAATATTACATCATTTATTCTAAACAATTAACAATGTAATCCAGAGAAATGGAGTTTACTAATAAATAGCCCATTGTTTCCAACAATTTATTCAAATGTAGGTACGTGGAAATTGATTTAAAACGAAATTGTAAATTTCGAAAATATTGAAATAATTCAATATACATTGTTGCTTTATTTGAATATCAAAAATAAAATCAATTGGCATAATATTGCACCAACTATTGTGAAAGTGGATCATTTTTGTTGCAGTATTTATTTATTAAATTACTTTAAGAGTGTGGACCAGGGGCGGTTTCTCCATTGGTTCTCTTGTGCAATGAACACCCAGTTAAATTTCATAAAAACACATTTTAAAATTATATAAAAATATAAATTTAATTTTAATATTTTTATTTTCATACGCGTTAATATCTATTTTTTGGTATATCATTGCGCACTGGCTGATCGCGTCTCTGTGGCACAGTATACCTACCAGTATACTGTGTCTGTGGCGCATTATGATGAGTGAGTCCAGACGAGCGAGAGAAATTTGTGAATGCATAGAGCGAAAAAGAGAAAACAACACATCAACAGATCCTTCAAACTGCAAAAGAAAACAATAATTGATTGACGCACCGCTCACACAAACAAACCAGTGTTGCCAGTCTAGTACAATTCACAATAATTGTACTAAATGTAGTACATACTCAAAAAATCTGGTATTCTAGGATATTCGAAGTAAAATCTAGTACTTTTTCTTTCTCGGCGTGCAGGATAGCTATTCACTAAGTCATGGGAACGCTCCCATGGGAGTGTTGCCATATATTTTGCTCTCTTACTCTTAGGTGGGTATATCGTACTTACTTACTTTTAGCCCAGCAAAATATATGGGAACACTCCCATGGAAGCGCTCCCATGACTTAGTGAATAGCTACCCTGCAGTGTTCACGTGTAAACTATATACAGAGTGGCCCAAAAGTCTGGAAACGGCCAATTATCTCGTAAATTGCTAGTCCTAATTGTACAAAATTTGACCTTCCAGACTACATAAAATCATAAGTGTTACATATGATTGAACTTGTATTGAATAGGAGATTCCAGTAATGACTAAATATACAGGGTGACGAATTTGAAAAACCAAAGTGACTAATATTATAAGAAAAACGGCAAATCTGGCAAAATTGAAAATATCAAATCTGGAATCTCCGTATCCCCTAATAGGTGTATCCCAAATTTTATACAATTAAGACTAGCAATTTACGAGATAATTGGTCGTTTTCAGACTTTTGGGCCACTCCGTATATTGTTCCTTGTTTGGGTTCGTCATCTATAAAGACACTCTTTTTTTTCCTCTTCAATAAATTAGATGTCACTGCAAATAGAATTCGAAAAATCTGGTACATTTAAGGAATCTGGTACATAACAAAAACATTTTGGCAACACAGTACCAAATTAAACAAACTCTTAATACTATCTGGATGTGTTTGTGTTTGTATTGCTTTTCTGTACTTTTCTTTTAATGTGAAAATGAACTAAAAATGCAAATTTAATTTCTATATATTGAAAACGTGACATTACATTTCTAACTGACAAATATCTAACGTATAACTATAGTAACGTGAAAATTGGATGGGCAGAGTCGGCTCCAACACTATCATTTCTCTACTATAAAACACTTTAAATAAACCTGATTATTTTAATTCTACTTATTTAAAAAAAATGTGTTTAATTAAGAACTGTGTCTTTAATAAATTGGTAGTATGTGTGTCAATTCAACGATTTTTCCCAAAAAACTTCTTTAAGGTAAGGTAAAGGATTTTTAAAGTTGTGTTGTTTCATTTACCTATAATAAAGTTTAAGGCCTCTAATTTATGTTTTATATTTTTTTTTAGACCATTCTTAGACTACTTCAAAATGGTTAAGTATCTATTTTGTACCCAAGTGTAAATACTATAAAGTAAGAAGTAAGCAAAATTTCTAAATTTTTTGTTTTTCCCACAAAACCCACTGAATGGAAAAATTTGATTATTCTGATAGGGTAACTACTTGACATCATTATGGAAATGGAAATGTACAATAAACGTTGGATAAACATAAAGAGACAAATGTTTTATACTTTAAAAGTGTGAATCGGAAAAATGGATCATCCAGTTGAATTAAATATAGGTACTCATAATGAGAAGATTTACCAAAGAATAGGTATGTACATTTAAATAGTTTATATAAAGTTATGTCTGCCTGTAATTTTCAATCATGTTACCTCTTAGCCTAGATGTGTGTTTCCTACAATCCTAAAATCTTTTATTTAAATTACATTTTTTTATTCGCTATACCTATTACTTCTATCTGTGGTGGTCCGATAATATTAATATTTAGGACGAAACTGGTTCAAAAATGACGTTCTCCTTATATAATAATCAATATCTAAGTAAGAGCGTTGAACATTATGTTCTATTGTTTTTCTTTAGTTATAATTCAATGAATGTTGCTGTATTATACAGAGAAATAGTTGTATTCATGGATTTTATTAACGCCTTGAGTATTTTTTTTATTAAATGAAGTCGGGCCAATTTCTTTATTTGTGCAAAAACAAAAAAGATTTTAGGGGGTTCCTTTTTTGCTTTTTTTACCTGCCTTAGTTGTTGAAGTCAAATTCGCAATAACAAGTTTCGAATCTAAAGGACCATCATTAGCTTTAGATTTACTGTCCATGTGAAAAGTATCCAGTTTTTGCAAACCTTTTTTACTTCATTAGTCACCTGTTGTTATGCAAACTTGGGAATGGGGTGTTAATACACTGCGATATAATATATCTATTGTGCCTCCTTTTGAAGTTAATGCAACAAAGAAATGTCTCGATGCCTATAACGACCCTTCAAATCCTATCTTCTTAAGGAAGTGTAAGATTTGGAGTGACTTCAAGTTAGGTAAATGTTCCTCTGTTATTTAATATGTGATTCTGGGTATAGTGCCCTTGGATTCTGAAGTGCTACACATTTAGTGAATAGAGATTTCGTTCTCTTCACCAAATCTACAATCATTATCTTCTACGACTCTTAGTTTACTAAGGTGTTCTTTGAGTCGGCAATGCACAGTAAGAATACTTGTTACATGTAATCTATTTTTTAGTCAACTGGTAGAATCTGACTGATGTAGTCCAGTTTGTATAAATTCATTTTGCTTTTTAGAGTCCTCGAGAAACGTCAATTTTTAAAGTGTTTGCAAAAAAAATAATATCCACTATCGGACCATGCAAGCATCATCCACCAATCTTCTCAGATCCACGTACAAAGTCTTTTAGTCGGAGTATACCGAAACAGAGCAGAAGTTTGTGGGTTTTAAAATCTTTTCATCTTCGTTTTTGTTTTGTTTTAAAAATCTTGCTCGATGAAAGGGATAATGCAGCAGCAGTTCCTGGGCAAATGTGAGCGGAAATAAACTTGTTTCGTACAGTTGTATAGAACAGAAAATACGAAGCAATTCAAAAGCCGCTTTTAAATTCAGTCCCGCATTTACTGGTCGCCATTTAATTTGATTCCGGGTTTCGAACTTTTCCTGAATTGTAAATATTCAGAAATTCGAAATGCTTTTTAACATCTCGGACCCGTTTGAATTCCTGAAATTTTAATGATGGTCTAAAATTAGATGTCCGCTGCAAGTATAATCGACAAACCATAGTAATTAAATTTAAATGAGCAACAGAAATACCTAAATTAAATTAAATTAGATGAAAATTCTTTGCAATTTAGTGACAACTCAGAAACCTAGGTGTACTTTTCTGTTCCAAACTGAGAACAAAAATGATATTATATCAACATCGACATAGCTTATCTTATTTTATTAAAATATCAATAAACGTTTATAAAATTATAGAATAAGTATTTGTAATAAATGTACCAGTATTTAATATCAAAAAATGTTTTCCTTAAGTAACTTAAACTACTCTTTTTTTCTAATGTAATTATAAAATTACTGTCTTTCTGTACGATGTCAAAAGGGTGGGCTTTAAGGAAAGTTTAGATAACTGAGATGGAATAAAATTTGTGTCTAATGATGATAATCTGAATCTGATTACTTCAAGTTAACTAATTGGGACATCAACACGTATGTGTGAAGTAGCTTATTTGGTTATCGTGCAGACGGCCCAAATCTGAGGTTCCAGGTTCGACTCCTGGTCGGTATCGTATGCATTTTTTTCTTTCTTAGGTATATTTTTAACTTTCCGAATTTTTCTGTAGTTTGTTTTAATTTTTGGAACATAAGAGGGTAATTTTCATAATGAATTAGGGATTATTTATTTTGCAGAATTTCCATATCTACTTTTTTTCCCATTAGATAGAAGCAATTGCAAATTACTAAATTGGAAGATCATGTATTTTATTTTACATAACTTTTAAAGGTTAAGATTCATTTAATGTGAAAACCGAATACCCACATTGAAATCTCCATCATTTATATAGTAAAATTTCATCAGTTTCTTAATAGATATTTAATTTTTGTTCCGTAGACCTCTTACCTTGTTTTTTGGTTTTGGGTAGACTCCTTGCTTTGCTAATATTGCATTTTTAAAAATTTTTATAACTGTAGTAAGGCGTAAAAAAACAATATAAAACATACATTTTTATTCATTTATTAATGAAACTGAAATTAGAACAAACCAAAATAAAATTATGTTCCTATGTATTACAAAAATCAAAAAGTAAAAATAAATACTTTTTAGTGAAAGGGATGAACCTGCTGCTTTAATAAATTTCCAATATTTATGCATTTAGCCCGTGTTTTCTTCGGACCTATATCGAGTAAAACAACTAATTATTTGTATTATTATAAAGTCATTACAAAAACAACAAAACCTAAAAGACGCTTCTAATTTTATTTTTTGATAAGTATAATTGAAAAAGCTATAAAATGAAATTCTAATACGAACATGGTTGCTTATATATTGCAGCTATGAACATTACAAAAACACGTAATGCAGTAAAATTTGTCACACTGAATGCACCTGAAGCGAGAAAAAGGCGTTTTGTTTTGTGCAAATTTTCGCCCATTTTCAGAGGAAAATTTTGCGTAACATGTCACTCATGTTCTACGGGCTATAGAGTAAACTTCTTTTAAATGATGACCATCGCGAGTGCGTGATCTAGGCGTATCAATATTTTGAAGCTTAGGAAGGTCTAGGAAATTGCTGACTAGCTCCTCTTTAAAGAAAATGATAGACATTTTCTGGTCGGTGATTTTTTGATGCATTATATAGGTGTTCACTATTGCTAATCGCAAAAGAAGTTCAATTGCTATCTTGCGATACCATTTCACAGACTTTTGTAATGCAGTTGAGTAGGACTTCATTTGGTCCGAAATGTCTATGAAACCTTTGCTTTTATTATAGTCAACAATCAACAGATGGCTTTTGTACTACTCCACCTCGTTGACAAACGTCCACCATTTTAAGGGTGTGTTTGGTACTTAGCATCAGCATATCCATTTTGTCTTTCCATTTACTTACTAATACACTAGTGTTACTTTCCCTTTCAATTATCTCTCCTCTTTTTAGTTTTGCTTCTGTCACTTCTTTTGGATTATGCCTCCGGTTCTGCCTCAAAGTTCCCACTAAATGTGTCTTTTTTAGTAAAATGTGCACTAGTGTAACACTAGTGTAAAAGTTATCCGTGTATATTATACGGCCAAAATCTAACAAGTCACTAGATAATGTTACCTTCTTTCTAGATTTCTATGTTGTTAATTATTCAATAAGTAATTTAGCTCAAATTGCTGATATGTGTGGATTCAAAAATTGACCAGGACAAATAAAAATAGAGTAGCGGGCCAAGATCTACTTTAAGATAAAATGAAAGATATTAAAATAAGACAACAACAAAAAAAAGTTGAGGGCCACCAAGTTTTTCAGTTACTTGGAAAACTTATCTGATTTTAAATGTCCCGTTTAATTGAGTCCGTCTCTGGTACTTAAAGTTATCTGTATGGGTTCTGGCAAATAAAAGAAAGTGAGAAAATTTAATACATTTTATAAAAAAAGTGAGAGATTAATTTTACATAAGTCTACCAATTAAATAGTGAGTTGAATGAATCAATGATTGTTTAAACTTACTGAAGATACTGATAAATGGTGGTATTTTAGTACGTAGGTACGGTACTTCCCTTTTTTTATAGCTAGAGGCAACTAGGAGCTTCCTGGAGGAGCTTGGAGCTTCTTAATGCGTTTTAGTTTCTTCTTGGAGACAGTACTGGAGTACTTGGAGGTAAAGTAGCCTCTTTTCGGAGACAGTACTTGGAGGTAGAGTAGAGTAGCCTCTTCTTCTTGGAGACAGTAGAGACAGTACTTAGAGGTAGAGTAGCCTCTTCTTGTTGACAGTAGAGACAGTACTTAGAGGTAGAGTAGCCTCTTCTTGGAGACACTATTTGGAGGTATAGAGTACTCTTCTTGGAGACAGTACTTCTTCTTGGATACTTGGAGGAGCCACTACAGGTTTAGAAATAAAAGAATCTCAGTACCGTGTGTAAAAGTACATATACATGCCAGTTTGGAAATCTAACGGATTTATGCATAAACGGAACGAATATTAAAGTTACATCGTCTGAACAGAATATAAAATATCACGACAAATATTAAAGTTACATCATCTGAACAGACTATAAAATATTTATAAGGCAAAAATAAGTTAGGAGCCATAAATTTCCGTTTAAACTGTATTTCCATACTGACTTGTAATTCAATTATTTAGTTGCCTCCCCGCGTATATATCAAAGTAATTCAATGATAACACATTAATATTAATATATATAAGAAAGCTTAAAAAATATTATTAGTTAGGGTAGCTATAATCTATATAAAATTAAATAAAAAATAGAAACCGGCTTTTTCCAGCATGGTGGTAATAAAAAAAAAAGCACACGGCCGAGCTTCGGTTTTGTGAAATCCAGCAAAATGGGAATAAAATAAAAACATTTACCTGACAATTATCCCAACGTTTACACTTAATAAACACAAATTAAAGAAAGATAATTACTAGCAATTCATTTTATTAAATTTATCGGCACGCTAGCACTTTTTTGAGTTTAAACACCAGAAAAGGAACAACCAATTCACCGTTTTAGGTTTTATATGAACTCCTGGCTGAAAGAATCGCTATGGGCTATGCGCCGATATTAGAAGATCATGCGCGAACGATGCTTTGTAAAAATCGATAATGGTAGGACGAGCATACAGATGTTGTGTTACGAGGGGTTATGGAGAAGTTGTTGTTAAAAATAAATTTGAAATTAATTTAAAATTAATTTCACGTAACAATAAACCAAAAACACCACTGTCCGGAACCGATTGATTTTCAGTTTTCTTTGTTTGTATTGGTCCACTTATTTATTTTTGCTCTTGGGCCGTGTTCACCTTTAGTAATTTTTTGACAAGCGTATCTGTTGGTTTCTTCAGCGATTAATTCCAAAATATCATCGTCCATGAAAAGTTGAAAAAAATCGTGAGGTTTTTTAAAAAACATTTCAAAATATTCATTTTTGAAACCTGAATCTTGAATATTACAGGAAATATTGTGTAACTTCTGGCCATCAACTTTTTTCCATGGCAGTGGTTCGCCTTGGTCAGCACCCAACTCTTCTTCTGAAGAACTTTTATCCTCCACGATTTGATATTGCAATATAACGGCTTTAATTATGTCGTCTAGAACTCCCGGCCGTATTTT